ATATTATATAGTTGATATCACTCAGTCAGATAGCAGATTATATTATCTTCTGCAGTTGGTAATTTGTGTATTATTTTCAATTGTATTTGCTTGATATGATACTGTAATTTTAGTGAAAGCTTAAGTGTTGGTAATTGCATTTATGATTTTGTATCTTAGTGATTGTTCATAAAAATCCTGATATCCTTTTTAAGTAACTAAAGTTATATTTTCTAGTAGTGCTAGTATATGATTGATTAGGGTTAGTCCCTTGCAAAAATTTTAATATCATTTCATTTTATTATTTCTTTTATATATATATATATGTTGCTGTAGACCAATTTGAATATTATTTTATTTCAAGTCTTACCTTGCATGAGAAAATACTATTTGTTGAATGTGACACTTAATACCTTACAGAATTGAGTCAAGTCAAATCCAAAATAATTGACTTTTTAAGAGAGGACCAGTTGTAATTAACTTTTTGTAGGACTGTATATCCAATATTGTACAATGGATCTATCAATAATTCCAAATCTTAGTTTTTGCAATAAAGGATACAGACAAGATTATTTTAAATATATTACTCAATATGTCTGATGTATGTCTTCTTTACTCTTGATTTTTATATGTTCATTATTTTATGTCAGTGTACTGAACCTCAATGAATCTTTATAGATGGTACTGGCAGCGAGGCCTCGACACCACCTGGCTCTCCACAGGCTGAACGTGCTGGTACTGCAGCAGTAACTTCCGAACCAAGTGGAGTGGAAGCTCTGAAGAGACGTGCTTCTCTAGCCAATCTGTACAGAGGTCCAGGAGGAGTTGAACTTGGCAAGGACGTTCTCAATAACATCACAACATTCAGACGAAAGCAAAAGAAGGTAAGTAATATAGGTTGTCTCACTGACACTATTGTGTATATATATATTAATATTGTTGTCTATGATAGTTGCCTTTGATTTTTTTTTTTTTTTTTTTTTTTTTTTTGCATTATTTATAGAAAATGATTTTTTTTATATTCTATATTATTAAATTTACCCTAAAATTACATTCCTTGACATTCTCATTTTCCAGTGAATTTAAATGCCAGGTAATGAATGAATGTTCCTACAAATGATTTTTCACATCACAGGGTACAATTGATGTATGGTGGCTTTATGATGATGGTGGTTTGACTCTCCTGCTGCCTTACATCCTCACAACAAGATCACAGTGGTCTAACTGCAACCTGCGTGTCTTTGCTTTGGCCAACCGTAAAGATGAACTTGACATGGAACAGAGAAGGTAATTCTTATTCTTGTATATAAATTTGAACATAGGTATACATGTATAAGAAAATAAACCATACATGTTAAGAGAGAAATACCACCCAAATATTAATGTAAAACCATTTTTACAGCATGGCAAACCTGCTGGCCAAGTTCCGTATTGACTACAGTGATGTGATTGTCATTCCTGATGTTGCCAAGAAGGCAGCTGAATCTTCTAGAATGGAGTTTGACCAGTTGATTGAAGACTTCAAAGCCAAGAGCAATGTTGAAATTGACAAGGAAAATGAAGGTATTAGATTGTCAATTTAGGTTTTAAAGTATGGAAACAAGGTGGTTAACCTAGTAACTACAATAGAACACCTGACCACTACATTTTTTCAGTGATGGGTAAATATTTACTAGAATACGTTGAAGAATATAAGAATTGTGTTAAAAAAAAGGCTGTTCTAATGTCTTATCAATTTTCAGGTGTTGTGATCAGTGAAGCAGAACTTCTTGGTCAGCGAGAGAAGACTAATCGCCATGTGCGCTTGCGTGAACTCCTCCTCGAGAACTCTAGAGATGCTTCTCTTGTCGTGATGTATGCTAAACTTTGACTTTTGTTATTAGTTTTTTGACTTGTATTTAAGGATTCAAATTAAAGTCTAGTGGATTTTTTTTTTTTTTTAAAATACTTCATGAGCTTCCAGTTTGTAATATCAAGGTAAAAAAGGTAATCAGCATCTATCAGAATTATGAATATGTAATATATACAAATATAAAAACACACCGATGTACACACGCACATTTACTCAATAATTTTATACATGCTGATTACCTCTTTTTCCTGTATACAAACTGGAAGCACATAAAAGTATTTAAACAAAAAAAAAAATCCCACTAGACTTTATTTGATCTTAATAATAACGAAGTCAAAAAACTAATAACAAAAGTCAAAGTTTAGCATACATCACGACAAGAGAAGCATCTTAGAGTTCTCGAGGAGGAGTTCACGCAAGCGCACATGGCGATTAGTCTTCTCTCGCTGACCAAGAAGTTCTGCTTCACTGATCACAACACCTGAAAATTGATAAGACATTAGAACAGCCTTTTTTTTAACACCTAAATTCTTATATTCTTCACGCGTATTCTAGTAAATATTTACCCATAGTGAAAAATGAGTCAGAGGTTCAGATTGTAGTTACTAGCTACCACTATGTTTCCATACTTTAAATAAACCTAAATTGACAATCAATACCTTCATTTTC